AAAGTTGTATGAAATTCAAAGCGGAAACTTTGCAATAAACAAATGTACGTCTATATTTTTTATTACGGGGTATGTGCGGATTTTTTTATACGAGTTATGCTTCATATCGCGCGGCTTCTCACGGTCAAGTTCCTCTAATTACGATTATCTGTGGGAAACACGAAATCGACGGTATTACTTTGCTACGTGGAATATATAGCTTCGTTTGCGAAACGTGGTCGACGCGGTGCGGCGTGACGATCATTTGCATCTTCTGCATAGAATTCTCCATTTTACGAGCGACAGATACCTCGCACGTAAACGATAAAGTACATATGCGATAAAAAGAACGAACGTTTACTTAAGAACCCGCTCTATTGTCTCTTTGCAGATAAAAACCTCGTGCGTCAAATCATTGACACTCCTACACCAAGTAAGAAGCAAGCTGCACCTAGCACACGACTCGACCAAATGATTTCTCCAGTACCCCGTACTAATTTACACCCGTTATACGGTCTCAGAAGCTCGGATGGCGTCTGCAAACAGTGAGAAGAGTTAAAAAGATACTCGCGACTGGCGGAAAAAGGTTCCGAAGAACGCATACGCGTGGAATTTCGCGTTATCGTCGAAGATGAGGTACGTGCTGATTACCGAGCTGCTTACACCTTCCTGTATGCCCGTGGCTCTTCTTTCTGTCTGCCTCTCTCTCTCTCTCTCTCTCTCTCTCTCTCCCTCTCTCTCTCTCTCGCCTCTCGCGAAATTACAACGACGCGCTATGTTCCTTGCGCGAGCACGGAGGCAGAGGGTCGTAGGGGCAGCGGACGCAAGGAATCGAAGGTGAAATTACACCAGCAAACTACGCGCCTCGGCGTACTTAGAGTTTTACTGATTGCAAGACATAAAATGTAATTGCGAGGTGGCCCTAGAAGAAGCACACAGCAAACCTTTCACCGAGGTTTTAATAGGATCCTCGTGAAACCCGACTGTCGACCGATTCGAATCCGGTTTACAGGGTCCCGCGGAAACGCATTATGACATTCTTATCCGAGTTCCTCAGCTTCTTCCTCTTCTCGCATTCTTTCCTACGCGAGAGGACTGTTAGTCCTTCTTTAACACGATTCGACGATCTACGGCGGCGATTATTTCACACTCGCGAGGACAGACTGCACCTTTCGACACGCTTGTCCAGTTCTCTTCCTCTCTCCCTGAGCCGGTTACAGCGTTCATTAGCGGCCCAGTCCGGTCCATTAAGATCGATTATCTCGATACATAGAAATCCACACTCTATTTGGATGAGATTGCAAAAGCAACGCCCGCTTCCCGTGGCTCTCTCGCCTTGAATCCGATCGTTCGCCCCTACTATACGCGTAGGATATGTGTAACCTACAAGAACGTGGCCCCGCTAGCTGGAACTCCTTTGGGATCTCCGTTGATGGGCATTCGCGCGCAGGCCGGTGTTGGGAAGACAAATCGCGAGTCCCGTAATTTCCGTCGATCAAGGTCGCGCGCCTCGCCACGCGTAATATACGATCCTGAATCGATCGGACCGGGATTTTACTCGGAATCGATTTGAATGAAACACGGACCGCCTTGTGACAGAGGCAGCTGGTCCGCCGTGGCGGTGGCTGGCCGGTCCAATTAGCCTCTAGAACCGAGGGAGGTACCGGAGGAAGAATCGAAAGGAAGAACCCGGAGAAGAACCAAAGAAGAAACTCGCCTCTAAAAGTCGAATTCACAAACCAAAGGAAAAGACAACGTGGGGGCTTTTAGCTCGCGCAGCACGCTTACGGTGCTTCACACTTTATTTATCTACATCTCTGTTGCGCGGCGATGCGCTTTCAGTGCATGGGCTCGGTTGGCAACCTACTTACGTATATGGCGCACCGGGGTGCAAATTATGCATGTTGCAAGTAGCCTTTGCTCGACCCGCGTGTCTTTTTATTGCTCGGAATATTTTAAACGCCACATCGAGCCCGGTCCATGTAAATATATGGAGATACGGGGCGCTACAGAGAGGCAAGTTCGCGATTGCGCCACGCGAATATGGTGTCCATTATCGCTCTAAATTGTGGCCTTCTGAAATCCAGGTGCCGTACACCTTTAACGAGATCGTGAACGTGTTTCTACAAGAATTTTTTACTCACTCTCGGTCGTTGTGATAACGTAAACGAAATATTATAAACGTAAATTTTCCAAAAAGTTCCTACACAGACATGAATATTATAGACTTTCACTCGATAAACCGAAAATATGAGAACAAAATACATAGTAGGGATATCTCTCCCAATTCCACTGAAAGAGTTTCTCTACTTTCACACGGTCCCTCTGCCTTTCTCTCTCACTCTTTCCTAAAAAATTCAGAACTTGGTTCACTGTTGGCCAAAACCTCGATTCGTTTCGCAACGCATCGAAGCTCGTACACGTTGACTCGCGCGCGCCAGTCGAGCCAAAGGAGAACGTATGCGGTCGGGCGGACATTAGCGTGGCACCGGCATAAATTTGTACGCGGCCGATACACCCCGTGCACCATCCTCTGTGTTCCTCTGGCTCTTCCTGTTTCTGCCGCCTCGTACGGAGCTTGGTACGCGGCAAAGGCAGACGCATAAGTCTTCCGTCTGGCCGCGAGGACACCGTATAGGATCGCGGCCGAACATTTTCCGTACGCGATAGGCGGCGGCCCGC